GGAATAGTAAGTGATAATTAAATGCTTAATAAACATTATTTTATTATTGTCATTTTGCAGATGAGGAAACTGAGTCACAAAAAATAGATAATTTGCCAGTAGCCAAAGAGCCATAAATACTAAAGCCAATATTCAATGAAAGTACTTTGTAAAGAGCCCCTGTAACAACAACTTCAATTTAAGCACTTTTCTCCATTCAATTCTTATTGTGCTTTGTGCCTCTAAATTTTTCTTTACCTGGGATCTGTTTTTGTTTTTTTAAAAATTATTTGTTCGTGATCAAGAAGTCTATAAAAATATATATATCTCATTAGAAATGGACATTAAAATTCACTAAATCTTTTTTTTAAGTGGTCATATTCAACTCCAATGTTAGTGCCACTGTCACACTGACTTATAAAATTAATGAGGAAAATTTTCTCCTTCCTCTCCAATTTCCAGCAGTTAAAATCACATAGGCTTATTGACTATAGAAGAAATTTAAGAATATTTTTTTCCATCCAGGGTATTTTTTAACATATTCAAGCAACATCCTCCCAGTAGTAAATTTATACTTTTTATCACTTATTTAAATAATTCTTCTAATTTAAAGCCTTAACATGTTATCAATTTGATGTATATTTCTCCTTGGTCATTCTTGACTCTTTGTATTTTCATATTGTTTTCTTCTATTTTTGATCAGTCAAGTGTTCTTTATTCGTTGATTTCAAGGAATAAGTTTCTGGTTTATTTTTAAATTCTGCTGTTCTTTCTAGTTCATAAATCTTTCATATATAAATTTAATCATTTCTTCTAATTGCCTCAATTTTGTTCTGTTGGGTGTTTTTTTTTAGATTTTTCAGTTAGATAAATCCTTCAGTTTTCTTCAGTAAGTAAATATTTAAAATATAAACTTCCTTTCTATTATGATCTTGTGTACCGATTTCATACATGGCATTTTTTTACCATTATTTTCTAAATACACTGCAATTACAGTTTTAGATCCTTATTTTGTGGTTACTTACCTATAATTTTTTTATATTATCTTTAAATTAGAGAATAATTATTTTCTAAAACAATAAGTAATTATCTATTTCATAACTTTCTTAGATTTTTCTTGGAGGTGTGTATGGCTAAATATATGATAACATAAATAAGATATATAGTTCATTAATAATCTTATCTGCTTGCTTGTGGAGAACAAAGTTCCTACTCATCTACATTTATAATTATATCAATACAATCATCCTCTAGAGGACTTAATTCTTTGTATTAATTTTCCAAATATTTGTTAATTTATGCTAAACTCAAACACTCTCAAGTTTTCTCATGCTTTCCTTGTGTATTTAGCAAACTTTGTATTATCTATTTTAATTCTGACATGAATTAAAATGATATAGGAAAATGGGTATTTTTGTTGAGGCTTTTATGGCGAAGATTTCAGAGCATAATCAAAAACTCTCGTTCCCCATCTCCATTTATCTTAGAAAGAAATATATTACATTAAGTATTTCGCATTCACATACAATCTGCACCCATTATAAACTGACCAAGAGAGTAAAAATACTTTAAACAATAAATCATATATTGTGAAGTACACAATGTGTTTTGAATTACTGTTCACATTTTATAATAGCATCCTTAGAACTTACATCTTTCAGTGAAATCAAATTAGAGTACATCAAACTGAGTTCTTATACTTTAGATTTCAAACAGGAAATAGGAAGTCTAGATAATTTTTACTGAATTTTCTTTTTGTACAGTGTTATGATTTCAAAGGCTATATGACTAATTTAGTTTCTAACACTGTTGTGTAAAGAATAAAAGCTATTATGCTAACTAGAGGTATTTAAAGTTCACTAAACTCAAGATACACATGACAGTTTCTGTTCCCACCAAATGTATAAATAAATAAATAAATAATGCATCTGCTATCTATCTATACAGAAAGAATGGGAAGAGAGTAAAATTCAGTGTGATTGAGAAACTCATTCATATTTAAGAAACTCTGCCAGAGTTCCATTGTCCTATAGATAGCCTGCAATTGCTTATTTAAAATGCAAATAATTACAATTAAATGCATTGTGATGGCTGACCATGTGACTAGTAGCTACCATTTTGGACAGCACAGGTAGAGAACAGTTCCATCATCAAAGAAAGGTCTTTTGGACAGCACTACAGTAAGATATTTTTCTCCCAAAGAACAACCAAAACACAATTCTTAAAACTATTCTCATTTTTCTTTCAGGTACAAAACTGAAGTTCAGAGAAAATAAACAGCATATTCAAGTTCAGAATATTAGAAACTGATGAACCAAAAAATTTAGCTCAGTTTTATTTGATTTCTGAGTCTCTGCTTTTTCCACTTTACTTCTAGGATACATTGGAGGAGAGAACCCCTTAACAACAGAAATAACTGATGGAATCCCTGCCCCCAAAACATCACAACCTCAAAAATCTCATCACAGGTGGCACTGGCACATAATGTCTCCAGGACATTTATCCTTTGTCTTGCTAGATTTCTTGTCTTCTGTTAGTTTCTTTGAATTGTATTTAAAGGTATTACTAATTCATAAATTTTCAAATTGACTTCATTGTGTGACTCTGGTTCCTCTATTACCTCTTATCTCTGACAAGACTTAGCAAACCTGCCATGCCCTGTCTTTTGTATTTTATACTACCTATTAAGACAATTTCTGCAGGTTACCCAGTCTTAAGGGTGTGTTCAAACTTAACCCTTTAAGTTCTACCAACGTTGCCTTTTTCTACAGTTGAGGATTGAAGTAGTGTCTCCCTAAACCATACGCTCAAATCCTACTCCCCAGTACCTATGAATGTAACCTGATTTGGAAAAGAGATATTTAAATAAACTAAGGATACTGAGCTGAATGAGAGCATCTTGGATTTAGAACTAACTCTAAATGAAATGACTCTTCTCCCTGTACGTATAAAAAGAGGGAGATTTGACACAGCAAGCACAAAGGGCGAAGGAAGAAGGCAGAGACTAGACTGAGGCGTGGACAAGCCAAAGAAGCCCTTGGATTCCAGGAGACAGTCCTGGAACTGATTCTGTCACAGAATTTCCAGAAAGAACGAAACTGCCAATGTCTGGATTTTGGAATTCTGATCTCCAGAATGTGAAAGAGTACATTTCAGTTCTTTCAGGCCACCCAGTTTGCTCCAGCTGCCCTAGGAAACTAATAAAGCCACCATCTCTGCCACTACTTTTTTTTCGATGCTTTGATCTTTAAAACAGTAACTATTCCTTCCTCATCTCCCAAAGGTGCAATCAAGAATTTGTTGTGATTAACTTCCCAATTAACTAAAACAAGGAAGTGAAATCTGAGGCAACACCTGAAGAAAAATGTCAAAAATACGTGAATGTTAAGCTACAGGAAAATGACTTTGCCTTTTACGATTAGGTTGACTGGCAGGGTGGAGAGAAATGCTGCTTCACTTTTAAAGTTCTGAACAGGCTTTGAGGCAATAGAACCCTAAGGAGACTGAGCAACCTAAGAAAGTATACTGTTGATTAAACAATGCTAGAGGAGGAATAGATATTTAATGTTACTGATGTACAAAGAGACGCTTCATTTAATATGACATATACATAATGCTATGCAAATACATTATTCTGCATTATGATGAAGAAAAAGTCACAAAATATAAAAATTTGCATTTTCTTATTTTATATCACTGGGCCAAATTATTTTAGATGACATTACCTTGTATTTCTCTAGCATGTGCAAAAATTAATTTTAATGATTTTTTCATATAAAACTTTTAACAGTCCTTGTAGTCCATATAAATCCCACATGGAAAAACTCTCTCATGAACTCACATTATGATTAATTTGCACCACATCCCTAATTCTGTGAACTGCGCTGGTTTCTGCCTGAGGTCTAGTGCTGAGAAATATGTACTTTCTCAGGATCATATTGACCTAGGTGCTCACTAAACATTATAATGTGCGTGACCACAAGACAGAATACAGTGGGTGAAATGCCAAGAGGACAGCAGAATCTCAATTAAGGTAACAGAGAGGCATGACATCAACATTTAACATTAAGGATAGAATGTGATCAAAAAATAAATAAATAAACAGTCAGGGAGCTTGGCAGGATGGCGGCACATGCCTGTAATCCCAGCAGCTCAGGAGGCTGAGGCAGGAGAATGACTAGTTCAAAGTCAGCCTCAGTAAAAGTGAGGCACTAAGCAACTCAGTGAGACCCTGTCTCTAAATAAAATACAAAATAGGTCTGGGGATATGCCTGAGTGGTTAAGTGTCCCTGACTTCAACCCCTGGTACCAAAAAAAAAAAAAAAAAAAAAACAGGGAGAAAGCGACAGGCCTTCCAGAATACAGGACTGGATCCTAGATCAACCAGGTGTGGACTTAGACTAGAGCACCTAGTCTAGAGAGAACTTCTCCTTATAGAAGATTTAAAAGTTTAAACAGAGAAAAGAATATATTTCCTGCAATGCATGTGGAGACATAAATAATCTTAACAGTACTACGTGATTTTCTTTCTTTTATGGGGGATGAAGACTAAAATGGCACTCAATTCCAAGACAGGAAGTCAAGGAGTTAGAGGAAAAAATAACTGTAATTTTGAAAATACAGAGGGAAGAATACAAGGTATTTGAATATGTTTAGAAGAAAATGGTCAAAAGACATTCAGTTCTTGACTGTTTAACTTACAAAGTAACCTATTATCACTTGTATTATTTTTATTTAAATGTGGTGCTCTGAGAAAGGTAACAGATTCCAAGGGAATGATCCTTTATAATATTTTGGACCTACTCAGAATTTATTCTATCCAAGATCCACTAGGTTTACTACTTAAGAAAGATCATGCATGCAAGATAAATATACACATATTATAAATATATATACGTGTGTGTGTGTGTGTGTGTGTGTGTGTGTGTGTGTATGGGATAAAAATCTGATTAAAATTTAAGCATGAAAGTAATATATGCTCAGCATCCTCCATAAAATACCAATCCACAATCCATTCTTACCTGGGACTTCCACCATGTACACTGGGAACATTTCACTGCTTGCTGACTCTATAAGAGAATAGCAGACAATCAGAATTATTACACTGTAATTGATAGGAAATCTGTCTATCTATCTGTGGCTGAAGTTTTGTCTCAATTTTCTAGTCTGTATTGAAAGTCATTATAGAACTAATTTAAACATATACTTTCAAAAGGCAAGAGAAATCATTAAAAGCAAAAAAAAAATTTAAAGTAAAAACTTCTGGAGAGACACAACAATTTCATAATTTCATAGACACAAGTTTTTAGTGAAAGTTATATCACAGATTACAGCATTCAGTGTCATATCTATGACACTTAAATATAATCAATTTAATCAATGATTCACTTAAGAATCAACCACAGCAGTATGGAAAAAAAAAGTAAAAAGACTATTTTTGAGAATCTGGCCTAGATACGACACTCAGGTAAGGCACCAAAGTAAATAGAATTAGGGCAATAGATAAGGGCAAATATAATCTGTAAGTCTATTAAATAGGCATGTATTAAGTACTTCTTAAATTTATTGTACTTAAAGAAACATCCAAACATTAAAAAAAAAATCATTTTTTTCCTGGAAACTAAAATGATTGGGAACAAATATTTTCAAAATTAAGCAACAAAAGTAACATATTTAATATATTTAAACTCCCATAACTTAGAAATGTACAGGAATATTGGCTTATATTTTATCTTAATAGAATCTACAAGTTTGTGAAAAAATAAACAGGTATGTATGTGCCTGCATATGTGCGTGCAAGGATGTGCGTGCACACACATGCGCTCGCACACACATACACACACACACAAAACTATTATTTGCACAGTGAAAATAAGACAAAATACCACAGGGAAATAATTGCAGATATACATGACATTATGTCAGCTACAAAATTCTTTATCCAAGAAAACCAAATGAATGTTAATGTGCACATTAATTTTAGGATCAGTCCAAATAATTGGCTCTATTATTATATACTACTGCAAGAAAACTGAATAGAAAATTAAAACTTACAGCTGTACAACTGGCATCAAGTAAATTAATGCTGATAATTCATGGAAATATATAGACCACCTTTTTCTTATTTATTATTTTTTCCAAAATCAGAAGTACAGTCATGATAAATGACTAAGGTTGACAATATTCTATAAGCATTTATTTCAAATTCCTAGGTTTATAAATGAGAAAAATAGAGCTAAGAGAGTAAATAAACCACCCAAAACCACACAAGCTTTGAGAAAAAGACAAATCTCAGAACATGGCAGCATCCAGTGTCATATTTTGATACCAAAATATCCAAACTGGTATTTTTCAGCAATAATTCCTATAAGAATCCATCACATCAGACAGAGGTCCCAATTATTTGTGAAATGCTTACAAAAGATATCATATTATATTAATTTTATTAAAAATCAAACACATCCAATAATACCCTCTGTATTTATCCTTTGAAAATGCATCCTAAATAAATTGTTCAAATGTCAACAAAGACATGAACAACAATAAAACTGTTCATTTGTTCCTTCCTAACATGAATATGTTAACTAGAATATTCAACCATAAGATATTGTTAAATATTTTCACTAAATCCATACAATGAAATAAAGAAATCCAGGAAAATGAGGATATGGTGAAATATACTTAATTTTGATTTTTTAAAGTTTATTCAAAATGTTATAACAAATATAGTAGATATATGTAAAATATATAGATATATTACAGTATTTATCTTATACAACTGCAGCTTTTTTATTTTATTGTTTATTTGAAGTGTGTGTTTTAATGTACCATTACAGTTAAGAATTATAGAAATGCTGAAAAATCATGTGAGTCATGTTACTATAATGTAATACTTAACAGTGATTATAATTGAACTAGTCCTCAATGTATGAATAAAGAAACATCTTAAAAACACGTTAAATACAAAAGCAAATAATAAAACGAAACAGTGAATTCATAATGAATTTTAAGAAGTGACTTCTAATCTTTAAAACTTCATTTAATAATTAAATATTAATATTGTTATATTTTTAATCTTGAATTAGGTTCTTTGATGGTAAACAACTAAAAACTCCAATATAAGTCATGAATATTTCTTTTTAAATCATTTCTATTCTGATATTATTTCTTCCAACCTTTTTTTTTTCTCTTTTGGTTGTCTCATTTATTTTGCTTTCCTCATTTTTGTGCTACTTTAACAAAAAAATAATATCAAATGAAAGCAGAAAGTATTATTGTACTTCATGTTTTGTCATTGTAGTTAGTCTTTTAAAGAAATGTTCTTAATGGTGACATGAGGTCTTCTCTCTTTACTAATTTGGAATCAAAATATAACAGCCTGGAGAGTGCAGGAGCACCCAAGCAGCTTCTATCCTTACAGAAAACATACAAGAGTAAACAGATAATCTGCAAGTTGCTAGGTGAACACTGAATTAGAATACACAATTTTATTTATATGACATCCTCCTAATACCTAGACTCTCACACATATAGCATAAAGCATCAGAATTCTGGTAGCTACTTTTTGACCTAATGAGGACTCCAGTATTAGTATTATCCAACTTTAACTTCAGGATTCTGGTTTTTTCTGTCTCTTTTCTATACATATAGGAAATATTTATTTTGTGGATTTTGTTAACACTGTCAAATGACTGAAGCTGATGAGCTGAGAATATATTCCATTTTTTTTTGTTAGAGATTCTTTGTGTATAAATTTGATTTTAAACTGTGAAATATCATCTATTCCATTTTTTATGGGTTTTTTTGTTTTTATTTTTAAATTGAGATTTTTGGTGGCTAACAATACTTGTACCTACAAATACACTTCTTGATTTCATGTAAGCACCAATATTTACTAAACGTTTACACATTCTTCATATTTTAAACAAATGGAAATCGTTTTGTATTGTTCAATTTAAAATATTTTTAAACAAGACTGTCAACATGATTAGCTAGAATAGAAATAATATTAAATGGATATATCAGCTGAAACTCTCTACATTCTCGGACACCACTAGTAAATCCATTGTCCTTTAATATGATCAACTCGGGTTTGTCACACAAATTTAAAAATTAGTATTCTATAATTTTGTTTCCTTGTAAAAGGCTGATCTAGGACAAAAAGAACTGTTGCAAATGTTTTACAGTTTGATTCTAGAGTTGCTACTCGCAAAGTAATTCCAAATAAAACTAAAATAAAATAAGAAATAGAAAAAAGCAAACAATTTTGACACATACCCATAGTTTTACTCCAGATTTTTCACAAACCATATCGTCTGATTTTGAAAAATTATATAGAGCAGTAAATAGAAAATCTTTCTTATGTATAATTAATACTAAAGCTGATTCGAGGGTGAGCCCTATTTCAGGGGTAATTTGTGATCTCAATTTTTTTCCTCTCAAAAGCATTGTCACTATTTTAATTTGTTTCATTTGCACTATTGTTACAGGCGACCTGTTATTTATGTCCATCAAAACCATTTTTTAAGTGTTGCAATTTAAAATTTTAAAACAGACAAAAATGCAAAGTACCAAAATTATATAAAGATATTGGCTGAAATGCACAATTTAAAGAAAATTAAATTTATAAATCATTCCATACAATATTACTAGCATGAAAATTTAAAAATAGAACTTGATAAAAGCAATAAGAGATTTGAAAACTCAAGACTGCTAATAGTATTTCTTCATCACTTATTTCAAGGTAAATTTTCTTGAAAAAGTTATAATAACAACTTTTGAGATATCTGCCTTTAATGTAATTTGAGTTAGCTCATCACACAAACTCTTCATTTTCCTACATTTTATTTTTACATGTTTACTGTTACCATTTAATTTTCATTGTCTTCTGTGTTCGAATTAACAACTGTTAACTATATCAAAGGCAAAAAATAATGAGAAATATAATTTTAAAATAAAACCTCATACTAAGTGCTGGATAAATATTAGAATCATATCTTTTAAGATTTCTTAAAGATGTAAATAGACTACAAATATAAAATACATATTGGTTACCTACAATTGTATTAAAATAAACATACTTTTAGTTTTGATTCTGTAGTTACAAATAAATCCCTGAAGCAATGAATATCAAATTTTATTTATTCAAATAATTTTAGAGAGTATATTTAGGACTATTAATCCTTTATGATTTTTATTCACTTTTAATCAAAGTAAAATTAAATTGGCGTTAACTATACTTATATCAACTTTACTTTGAATAAAACATGCAAAATAATTGTTAAATTGACAAGTATTTTGAAAAGTATGAATAAGAAGCTTTACGATGATAAATACTTCTAGGATTTACAGTTTAAGAAAGACCTACATTATAAATTACACACACAAAATACAAATTTGACATATCTATTTGTACCCTTTAGGAATGCCAGACATTTTAGCAAATTTAATTTGATCATGAAAGAAACCTACTTTGTATAAGGAATTGTTACATGCCAAATAAAATTAACTAAATTTATAAGACATGAGAACAAGTTATTTGTTTTCCATCACAAATCAAATATTCTAAATTTGTTAACTTCTTAAATTATTTTTTATCTATTTGATCATAAATGGAAAATATGTGTGTACTTATTTCTTTATGATAAAAATTCAAAGATAGGATGATTCTAATATTTATCCAGCAGTTAGTATGACATTTATGCTTTAGATGATTTTTATCAACTTTATAGATTCTTTCTAAATATAGGTAAATATACTTCAGGAAAAAAATGCTAGGGATGAAAGGTAAATTGGTATGTTTTTTTATTTTTTAAAACACTATAACTTCTTCACCTTTAAATCTATAATCAACAAGATACTATTATCCTCTCAGCGTATTTTATTCTACTAGTAGTACATATTAATTAATATAGAAAACTGAAACACATACACAAGGAAGCACATTTATTATTTCTAGATGTCAAATTTGCTGAAATATGATTTTGTTTATTTATTTAGGCTGCTGTTCATTTTATAGGTAATCAAAACTTAAACCTAAAAATATTTATTTTCCAATAACAGACTTAATTTCTAAAATTTACATCCACAACTTGTTCTTAAGATTTGGTGGAAGACTAAGTCAAAATAAGCCCATGCTTATATCACTGTATAACTGCTGAAATATAGTTTTTAAAAAGATAATGTGAATATGTCTTTCTACCTTAGTGATAAATTGAGTGATAAATTGAGCTATTGGACAAAAAATTAAGTATTAATGTAATCAATTAATGAATTGACATACTTTATCATGATTACCTCTCATTAAATGTGCCCATATTTTTTAAAATGTAAAAATCAAGTTCATTTAGAAAACAGATGATAAAAACTAGAGGGAAAACATGCATGCTGTAAGGTATCCCTCTTCACCTTTCTCCCACTGTCATGGAATCAAGAATAATAAAGATACAGTTTCTGATCTCACAGGCATAGGAGGACTAGTTTAGTGAATCTTACAGATCTAGAACAGTGGTTTTTTAATTGGTTTCTTTGCATGACAATGTTTTAAATATGATATTATTAAAAATATCTGTCACAAAATGATGATAACCAATATTTATTACAAAAGCCCAGGAAAAGACCAACAAGTTCCTGAACATATATTTACTAAGCATGGGAGTTGAATAAGACTCCAATATGACTTATTTTCTTGATAAAACTACAAACAAAGTAGTAAGGATACATATTTTAAGAGTGTATATGAAGTCATATCTATTCCAACTTTTTTAACAATATTATTCAATCCTTAGATTTTTCTAAGATGACTCTGGCTGTCTTCAGTTTAGACACAAAGTTGTGAGAATCAGTCCTACATTTCACAAACTTTAAAATATGTATCTAGATAAAAAATAATAATTATTTTTGGGTATGTTGTTTTTTAAAACAATCAAGATAACAAAACATATAATCCTAAGAATTTAAGTACTAGTTAGACAACTGTTTTCATCTATTAATATCAGATAGTGAATCTGTCATAGTATATTTCCTACTTTTTAATTATGCTTCTGTATTCTTTGCAAATCTCCAAGTTCTTAAAATGTTCATGGTTAGAAAGTATGCTTCTTTTAATAATTCATAACTATAATTCTGATAAATACTTATATTTTACTCATTTGATGCCAGTTTTTGATTCAAAATTGATCACCTTTGTTTAATAAATTGTGCAGAGCATAGGTCCTATAAAATTTGGAAGACAGTTTTTCATCACTGTAAAAGAAAACTATATTTTCTAATGGTTTTAGTGCTTAAATAACAGTATAATTAGGTTATGTTATATGTTATATTTACAGATAATCCCACATTTTATGGAAGTTGAGTGAACAGTAAAGCAGCTTACCTGATAACATTTCCTTGGCCAAATATCCCTCTTAAGGCATATGGTAGAAATAGTAATGCCCTATATAATTACAGAGAGGGAATCATCTGAAGATTCCAGGGCTTCAAAAAGAATTTAGGATAATTAATGAAATAAAATCTATCCTTACTCAAGTATATATAAGCAAAATTGTAACATGTTACAAATGTGTATATACATGCCATAAAATATATTTGTCATAAAATATACTCATCATAAAGCATATAAGTGTATACACACACACACACACACTCAAATACACACATATCTAAGCTATATTCTTGTTAATTTTATACAAGGAAATAATGGTTGAAATGAAAAGAGTTTAAATATGAAGGTATTTGAACCCAATACATCATTAACACTTAAAGATTTAATTAAAGTAGTACTTAAGGTTGGAAGTATTTGAAATAAATCTTGAGATCTTCATCATTTTTTCTAAGATTGATATTCTAAGACACAATTTAACTGTTGTACTAATCCAATATAAGTCTTATTTCTCATATTACAAACTTATTTCTTATAAGTATTGCTTAAACTTATTCTTTTAATTAAAAACTAATGGAATCATGCCAAAAAATGTCCAAGTTTCAAATACATATGCACTTTCTACAAATTTTAAGCAAAAGTCATGATCAGTCATACTTTACAAGAGAAATCAAAAAGCCATGTGACGAGATAGAAATTAAAAGATAAAAGGTTTCATCTTTTGCTTGATCTTCACTGACTGATAAACCTTTTATATCTATTATAGGATGACTTAATGGAGAAAAAAACAAAACTCACTGTGTCTTCTTAGTCTCTCAACTGTCCATACACTTTTTTAAAAGCTTAATTCAGTTGAAATATATTTGCCCAAATTCAATAGCTATATGTTATGATGCTATCAGAAAATTACCTTATACAGCTATGACAGAATAAAGTCCTGAGGAGATGGAATGAAAATACAAATCATGCAGAAAATGCATGAATGTAACTGTAAAATCAAATATAAGCACCTGGTATTTGCCCAGGTTCAACCACTACCATGAAGCTTTTGTTAAGTATAGGTGCTCTATTCAACAGATACCTATTTTTATCATTGTTGTTTCCAAATCAGAATTTACAATTAATGATTTATTTTCAAAAATTCTTCAATGTAGTACCTTACCACTGTCAATATCAAGATTCCTAGTGCCAAATGACTACACATGCATAAATACATGTATCTAATGTTTTCCCTCCATAAACTTGAATTCAACTTCAGTAGTATTGCATGATTCTGTCAGTCAAAATTAAATGAAGTAACTCAGTACTGTGTCAGCAAGGATTGAGCAATTACTTTTATTACAGTTTTAAAATAGTCTTTACTAATGTATGTCTTTGTATATTAAATGATACCAATTTTACCAATATTTCACTTATATTGAGTATATAAAAAAACATCTGGTTTTGTTAGACGATATATATATATCATATAAGTAATAATCATAATATACCTTCTTCTGGCCCATTTTCCTAAATGAACATTGCTGTTACTGGCATATTTTAAAATTTCAGTAAGAATGATCATATTTAGGGCTGGTGTTTTGGCTCAGAAGTAGAGAGCTCACCTAGCAGGCGTGAGGCACTGGGTTCGATCCTTAGCATAGCACCACATGAAAATAAAATGAAGGTATTGTGTCCACTTACAACTAAAAATAAATATTTTTTTAAAAGAATGATCATATTTAGTAAATTTAACATGTTTAATAGTGATAAGAAATAAGTAAATATCTGATTTTCAGGACATAAAACTTTCAGCATCTTACTTTGAAACCTTTTTGTTCTTGCCTGTGTGAAGGTACATAAATTTAGAATGGGATAAATTTAGAAAAAATCTATAATCATTTAATCTATGTGGCAACAGGCTATATAAAATCAGTTCTTCAGAAAGCTATTTATAATGTTTTATAATACTGAGAGTTCTAAGCTTTCCTGGATATTATGTGAATATAAAGGAAATATAGTTTTAGGATGCACAATTAAGTACTTTTCTACAGACATTATCTGATGATTTAGAAAAGAGTCACACATATTTTATGAATATGTGCACTCAATGGAAAGCACATTTAATTCAAATGATTACTAGTTCTATATTTTTCAAAGGCATCTCATTTGTTTCTATGTTTCTTAAAACATTTGATGTATAACTGCAACTTTTTAGTTGCTAAATAATAATATTAATATAAGAGCTAATTGGGTTCTTCCAGACTAGTTAGAAATAGTTCTATGCCACAGTAAAATCTATGGCAAAATACAATGAAAGGAGAAAGAAACAAGAGATGAGTGGATTACATTTAAGAATCAGCTCCCTTGAAACTATAACAGAGCATTCATGGGCTTAAGGTTTTTCTGCTCTGTCTGTAAAATGGGCAGTTCATTTCCTCTGCTAGTTTAAAAAGTTATTTTATCAGAAACATGATTGTAAAGTTTTTAAATTTATGTAGAAAGACAATCATCTCTCTGTTTTAATTGTCACCATAATTATCAACATACAGAACAAAAAGGTTGCTTTTGAAGGCTTTTGCCTTTTTATCTGAAGATACGAATTATGTTCTCCAGCTATCCCAGTTCTAAATTTCATATAATTCTTGGGAAGAAAGAACATAACTCACTAAAATTACCCAAAAGTGTAACTTTTCTCAAGTATTTAAAAAATATTAATATACCTATCTTAAATTTGCAAAACAAGAACTCAGCTACATTCAAAGCACTAACAAGTATTCATATTGATAATGTTCACTTTCAAATACAAGTTTATATAGTCCTTTAAACTCTAACACAATAATTAGACTTGCATTACAGTGAGAATGCACTGCTTTTCCTGGTTATGTGCATTACCACAAACTATAACCTCGGGACAAGCTGTTACTTCTGACATGAATGAAAGATATTGAACTTTAATTTGTGCAAAACAAAAAACCCTTCTTAAACGTTTCATAACAAAGAGCTTAAATATTTGCATTTTCTAGAAATATGCTCCAATCATATCCCATTTGTCATGAAATATTTTTGAAAGATAACAGAAAATTCAGAGTTTCTTTTAAAGTCAGCTCCATATACATTTTTGGCATCATTGTGATTAAGTCGGGAAATATGAGTGTTATAATGGTTCTAATACAGTTTTCCACTGCTCCATCTGCTGGATATGCCTACATCTCCCGCACCAAGTGGTAACCTCTAAAAAGTAACATGAACTAATTCAGCAGGTGGCTTCAAAAGGCTCATGCATGTTGCTTGGAAAACTTATAATGACTTTTACATTTTTGTTTCACTAAGTGTCCCTACTTTATTGCAAAAAGAAAGGAAAAGAAAGAAGCTATAATCTGCAGGGAAGATACATTTCACAGTAGGTGAAAAAATTACAATCAAGAAGGAAGTAGGCTATTCATTACAGGTCTGCACCCTGCTTGCATTGTACTGATTTTGACATTTCTCTGAAAGGTCCTATAGTCGTCCCCCTAAACTGGAAAGGGGAAACATATAGAAAAAAAAAAAAGTTGTAAAGAGATTTTTTTAAGCATGCCTGTCAGTAATCACATAAATATCACAAAGAGAAACCATGAGTCTCTCAACATAATTTACCAAGTGATGGGGAGCCCTTAGTCTTTCCCCCCTGCAACGTCTTTGCAGGCAGCTCCAGAGTCGCTCTCGGACGAGATAGCCCCACTTTTCCTCCTTCTGCCAGTCACTGATGGGACAAAGTGCAGTTGCTGCCACGGGCCAGGCCACTGTCACCGTTGCCACCTCTGCCGCTGCTGCTTCAAAGCCTAGGCTGCTACTGCAAGGAAAGGGTTACTCCTCTCCAGGAGTCAAGTGGCTGCAAACTTCCCCTGCTTTTCATTTACCTTTTCTGCAAACTTGTACGTCCTTCCGTGCAGAAGGGCCAAGGAAAAACATTGCAAGCATCAAAGGGAACATCATAATAAAAGGACAACCCCCTCACCCAAGGTAAGACCCACGAGTTAATGCAGAAACGCAATCTTAATCCAGAGGGGCACCGCCGCTTCCAGAAGATCCTCCCCCCCACTCGCTTCCCCTCAGAAAACGGTGCCCACTTTGCTACGGAGGGTGGCTGCCGCTGCCATGGACATGTGTGCGGTGGAGGTAAAGTTTGACAAATGATGACCGGTCCTGGAAGGGGAAGAATATAGGCAGCCAAACAGACACGCGGGGTGTGCTAAGGGGGAGAAGCCTGCAGGAAAAGTGTCACGTACCTTTCTGCGGTTGCCAGGCGGGGAGGCTGAAGACAGCGTCGCTGGAGGTGGCGGGGCGAGGGTCCAGCCCTGGCCACGGGCTCCCTCCCGGGGTGAGCAGAGCCGCCGCCGCCGCCGCCGCCGCTGCGCCCGGGCGCAGGGCCGAGCAGCCTCTGACGCGCCAAGGGCTCTGGGCCACGCCAGTCACTTGGCCCAGAGAAGTTGGGCAGCCTCAGCGCGGCCTCGGCAACCGGGGAGAGCAACACGTTTAGTTTGAACTTTCCAGCTCCAGTCCCAGCAAATACACACTCACGCACACACACGCGCGCGAGGAGAGCCTCTCAGAGGCGAGCGAACCGGCACCGGTGGCTCTCTGGCCGCGTCTTTCTCTCTCCCTCGCTCTTATTGGCGCGGAGGTTATTGTTTTATTTATTTATTTCCTCCTCCTGGCTCCATCCCTCCGCCCCGCTCCCCCTCCCTCTTTTTCCCTCCTCCTCCTCCTCCTCCTCCCCTAAGTCTGTGAGGCCGACGCTGGCAGTCGCTCCAGCTGCAGCGTTGCGGGGCCGCGCGCGGGCCAGCGGAGGCTGCGTCTGGCCCCGGTGGGGGCGCGGGGGCCAAGGAGCCCTGGAAGGGCGGGGCGGAGGGAGTGGGAGGACTCTGGGGCTGCCTGCCTTGGGGAAGGTGACGAGTGTCAGTGGAGGTGAGGGGAGTTCGCTCCGGGCTCCGGGGACTGTGCTGCGTGCTGCCCGCCGCCTGCAGCGAGGGAGAAGCCCGCGAGGCCTGCGCCGAGAACCGCGCTCCCCGCCCTGGCTGAGGAACTGAGCGTCGGACGGTCGCCTCAGCGCGCCTAAATCGACTGCCTCCTCCGCCCGCGGGCGAGAAGGCGCAGCCCCCTCGGCGCCGCCGCCCGCCGGCTCTCCTGCTCCCTCCAGCTCCCCCGACCCCTCTGGGACGCCCAGATGCGCGCTACCATTTAACCGGGGACGTAGCGAGTTTGCATTTTTTGTTTGTTTGTTTTAAGAGGCTTTAAGTGCCGTGCAGTGAGGCGTCCTTCTCTCCCCACCTTGCCTCTCCTCCGATTCTCGGGGAAGGTGCGGTCCACGCCAGGTGCGGCACCCACCGCGGCTGGGCGGGCTGCACCCTACTAGGGGATGAAGGAGGTGTCTTCAGACCACAGCCTTTAGGCGCAGTTGGGGACCTACGGGATCCGGAGTGGCAATGTCTTTGCTGCTATCCATGGCCCCCAAACTGAGCTCTCAAATGGCAATTGACCGCTGATGCCACCGTCGTTCAGTCAGGCTCCCCGCTTCCCCAGTCTGCAGAAGAGATGACCTTAAAGCCAGCCGCCCTCCCCCACCCCATACAACCTGAAATCTGGACTGGAAAGAGCCCAAATCTGACTCGAGGAAATCCTTCTTCCACTTCCATCTTCCTGACCCCACTTCAGAGCGGCTTTTCCAACGCAAACCCCTTTCAGACTTCCCATTAGGTAAACCTGTGGTTTTTTTTTTTTTTTTTTTTGGTTGTTTATTTTGGTTTGCTTTTGTTGTTGTTGTTGTTGGGTTTTTCTGTTTGTTTTGTTTCGGTTAGGTGTTTTGTTCATTTGAGGGTGTTTTTTTTTTTTTTTGTATTTTTGTATTTTTTATTTTTTTTATTTTTAGGGATTCATGACTTCAGTCACAGAAAGGGGGGGATCAAAAGGAAATAATTCTACAATGGATCTTGATAAAACACAGCCAGTAAACTAAGCACCATCTCAAAGACTGGGATGCTCAAAGACTCATGGATTTGGAAACAGCGTTTCTTTCCTCATCCTTTTGCCCTCTAAAGCCCTAACAGTCTTAGACTAAATTTTATGGAGATTCCAGATATAGAAACAGTGTTACTAAACTGCTTACCATTATCTTATAGTGTACACACACACACACACACACACACACACACACACACACACACACATTTCTTTCCTTTCTGTTCAAGAACGTCTTTCAATTTCTCCAAATATTTACCCATTAAAATAGTGATTCCTTAGTATTTTCGTTCTTTTCTCAGAAATTCCCTGTTATGTGTAACAAATACCTCTTAAAGAGCTGGTGATTTTTCTGTTCTTTATATTTTCATTGACATCCCGAGTAAGCCCCCCAGAGGTAAGATGAGGAACAGGTGAGGACTGAAATGTAAGAAGGTGAAAAAAATACATGTTTAGAGCATGTTATAGTTGCTCTCTCATTCCAGCTTCATGTGCCCTTGTCATTAACCAAGTCTGAACCTTCAGATCCTCCCTTACTCAGCACCAACTAACTTATTATTCCGAAAGCCACCCACAGTTGAATGTAAGACCCTGCTTCTGAATGGAAGAATCCAGAGACCATATCCAGAAGACAGGAATGTACTTCATTGGTCACCTGTGTAGTGATCATGAAGTTGTGCCACGCAGGTATGCAAAATCTGTAAGACCACATGTAACTTTAAACCAGTACTCAGGAAACATATATCTCCACATTTCTTCCCTACTCCAGAGGTATAGAGATTTTAATTTGGAGGAGAGCTATTTGACAGTGATATTTCCACTTAATTTTGCATAAAATTAACAAAATTTCTCAAGAGGTGTGTGTGTGTGTGTGTGTATGCAATCTTCCCTTTTTATGTGTATGTGTACATATCCATATATATCCACATATACATATATATATATACATGTACATTTATATATATGAGTGATCTTCCCATATTCTGAACAATAGTTACAATGGTATTTTTTTTTCAAAAATTTTGCTTGGAATGTAACTGCTCACCTTGTCATCCTTCCACTTCATCACCATGTACTTGCCTTCAATATAATTCTTCTCTACAGTATCCAGAAGTACCCAGTTTTACAGGGAGTTGCAATCCACACTATGTTGACTATCTTTACTTTAACCAGGAAAACACACATTTGGTGCTGAGAATGATATTGACTTTGGCAACAACAAACATCACAGTCCAAGATAGTAGATGGAGAAAAGATTAAAAGAGAAATTGGTTTAATCATCATTGAAAAGATGTGTTCAATGTGTATTATCTATAGACATCATCTGTTCCAATGTTTGTGTTTATATTTGTGCCCACAACCTAAGGTCTGATTCATTGAAATTAAAATTAAAAAAAGGTAGAGTGAATTAAAATTTCAAATAAAGGAGAAAATAACCTTTTATTTGATAAAGGTCATTGAATATTAAATAATACACAGATAATAAAGAACAACAGTGTTTTATAAAGTTTTTCTGAGAAATCCTCCCCAAATCTGCTATTAAATAGAATATAAAAGTATATAACTCATACATGCAAGAAATTCTATTTCATTTCAAGACCCCCTTCTCACTCCTCCCCTTTTTCTTTAGGTCCTCCCTTGCCTCTTCCATATTTCTTCACCTACTTTACTAGACTTCCTTTTGCTCATCTGTTTATTTATATTGATTGGTTCTTTCTGCCTATGAAGTTTCCTGTGGTATATTTATATATGCACATAACTTGATTTTTAAAGAATCCATTCTGCATTGCCTCCTCTTACCTATCCCTCCACTCTGTCTCTCCGCCTCCTTTTTCTATATTACTATTTTCTATATTAATAGAATTCCATGCATCTATGAGTTTGAATGATGAACCCAGCTACTGTATATAACTAGGAATCTCAAAATAAAAAAGTATATAGCTTCATTGAATTGGTTAATTTTATTTTAAAATATTCAATTTCTCTTCTGGGCAAAGAAAATTAAAATAATAAGAGTATAAAGGGAGAAGAGATAAAAGAAAAGGAAAGAGCTGACCAAGTAAGAAGGAAGTTGTTGGGGGGAAGAAGTGGATTGTTAGAAGAAGAAAATATGGGAAACATGGAGAGAAAGAAGGGTAGGAGAATCCCTTCATTTTTGCTGAGAACATCCACAGTCCTCAGAAAACCCATTCCTACAGTTCTACTTAAGATCCTGTGTTTATGGACATTTGTCAGCACAGTTAGATTGTTGTGTCATCATTAATAAAACTACATCTGACAAAAGAATGAAACCAGATGAGTAACTCATTTCCACAATCAAGAAATACACTTTCATTAATTTTCAAAAACAATACGGTAAATTATAATTTTATTTGTGGAAAATATTTTATACAATTTTATTTTATTTTAATTTTAATTTTAGCCAAATTATTTTTTTATCCATCATCCCCATTTTCAACCAGTGATCTATTTATTTATTTGCTTGTGTATATGTACATGTATATGTGCATATACACATTATCAATATTTAGTCTGACTCACTGCACTGTATAATTATCTAGGTTATAAATGTAAAACATGAAGGACAAATATAAACATGATTCCTGGACCCCTTTGGTAAACACTGGGAATTTAAATAATTTGAGCTAATGTTGAATCATTAACTTGTTCAAAAATGACTACAAAAATTTCTCTAAAATATTTTCCTAATATTTAACACATTTCATCTCTTGCTTCCCAAGTTCTTCAGCATTTATTATTAATGTTAATATAAAAATTCCAGTAATATAATCCCTAATATCATACACTCATCTTCGACAAATATTTGCATATTATAAAGTAAAAATTCTCTGTTCAGTTCTTCTATGATCACCTCAGCTGACATATCTTCCTCTTCTCCCTGTTCCATTACCATAATCTTGGGTTCCTTTTTTATTTTTTCTTACTTCATATATATGTTTAAGTCTCTCTCTCTCTCTCTCTCTCTCTCTCTCTCTCTCTCTGTGTGTGTGTGTATGTGTGTGTGTGTGTATGTGTGTGTGTGTGTGTGTGTGTGTGTGTGTGTTTAGCTGTTAATGGGCCTTTATTTACTTA